ACTATCTCTAGTAGATATGTATTGTTGTTTATGTAACGATTTTGCTTATTCATTATATAGCATCAGATATATCCTAGGTTTCCTGAAATCAAAAATTTAAATTGAACGATCGATTTTTAGATTTGAAAATAAATTATTTATATTTTATAATTATTTTTTCATATACACATATTGTTATATATCGTTATTGAAAATTTTCCCTTTCATACTTTCCATACTTTTTAAAATAATTGAAAATTTATAAAATAGAGATTATCAAATATTCATAAATTTGTTAATTGATGAAATACACTCATAAGTATGTTGAAGGATAAATGATTCCTAATATTCATCAGTATGTTAAATGATATTTCAGTTTAAAAAAAATGGTTTTTTTTTCGGTAAAGATAAAGAGAGCTTTATAAATAAACTTATTTTACTGATATATAAGAATGGTAAAGTGAAAATGATTAAACATCACAAAAGTCACAGAAATGATCGGAACATGACTCATATCCATCATAACTTTTTGATAAATAAAACCGTTTGGTATCGATGGAAAGTTGAAAAGAATATAGAAAGGTACTGTAATAACCAATAATTCTGCATTTAAATTTGCATTACTTTTTTCCTTTTAAACTATTCATGATTAAATGCTTTTCAGGATTTTGAAATATGAAATAGAGATTTGGAGCATAGCAAACTAAATTATAGCAATTATTCTTAAACATAGTTGACAGAATTTTGTAACTTAATTTCCTTTATTTCAAGAAATATATTAAGGAACTATATGAGTGAAAATTTAAACGTTGAACGCATATAGATATGATGTAGAATTACGAATTCAAATAATTTACAAAATTCTAATCATAAATTTCGTTAGAATAAATTTGAGCACAGAACAGGATTTTTTAATCTACAAAGACTCATTTATTTCACTTTCCAATTTTCCTCTTTCATTGTTAACAAAATAATATCAGTCATCAACAGGTTATAATCCCGCTCCTATCCAACAATTACACATATAATATTCCCAACATTTCACAGATCACATTTTTCAGTTCATATGCTTCTTTTAAGGCGCAACAAAAAAAAAGAGACAAATAAGTTGACAATGTCTACTATTATTCGTTAAGCAAAAACGCACTTTACAAGAAATAACACCGTGAAATGTCTTCTGTACAGTTAGATCAGTTTTAAATGAAGTTTGCTTAGGCAAATGTCAACTGAAGAGAAAACCTTTGTAATAGGAAGCTTTATATAGCTCTCAAGTACTATACGAGGATGAAGAAGTTTCATAAAAGTGATGCTATAAAAGTAAAAAATATATGAAAGAACATTTGTAGCGGAATTGTGATATCAATTAACAGCTTCAGATTACTGTAAGACGCTCAGAGAATCCATGCTTTGCCGCCCAGTTTTCAATTTGAAACAGAATAGCATCACACTCAGCCTTCTGTGCTAAAAGTTCATCTTTATTTTCGTAATTCAAATACTTCTCCTGAATTTTGATTAACTCTTGTAAACGTCGAAATCTCTTTTCCGCAGCTTCTACCTCAGCTCTTAGCTTTTGGTTTTGCGATATCTGAAACGACAATAAAGTTTAAAAGGAAGTCAAATGAATTCTTTCCAACTTAAAATTTTCATTTTTAATATCCATCTTAATTTGTTTCAAAAAGAACATAACAACCTGTAATTCGGCCTTCTTCCGCAAAAAAGGCTTCATTGCAAGAGCAATTTCGACCGATGATGGAGTATCTCGG